AGACCGTAAAGTAGAAAGCCTTAACCACACACTATGAAACAGAAGCGCTGGCAGCTGTTTTAACTACTCAGTCAGGATCTCTGTGGACTTTGAGATTATATGAATGTTACCTCATCTTCCTTTCAGCAGTACCAGAGGATCATGGTACTATGTTCTGTGTATTCTTCCAATGTTTACAAACCTGATATGTATATGTAGTAATATGTATGGACTGTGGCATACTGTGAATGCTCAGTTGCAATAGAACTTTATATGGAGTTGCTCTCCAAACTGTACAAAATACCTCCTAGAGAACTGTCGGAAACTATTCCAAATTACTCCTTGGAAAAATATTACTCAAGACATTGTAAAGCGCCAATTTTTAAAATCTGTTTTGGGGTGGGAGGAAGAACGGAGTCACCCAGTTTAATAACCAATTTACATTAAAAATAAGAATGCAGTTCTGGACTTTCACATTAACATAGAACTAGCATTTAAAGGTAGCTTTAAGCTATTGTATAGTAACATAGAGATGGGGGTTAACCATCTTTAGGTAAATGTATTTAAATTTCTAAATGTTAAAAGAAACTTTTAATCAAATGTCTTCTGTTTGAAACTGCTCTTTAATTTGAACTGATGTTTGATTCTCTGGTTTTTAACACTGAATGGTCTACATAAAATTCTTCTATTTCAGATACTGTTTCTTGCCTGGCTTCTTCAATCGACTCTTTAAAATGTAATTAATTCGATGCAGTGCTTTGAAATGCAAAAGAAAATGGTGTGTCATATACTGTTCATGCTGGTTTTTAAAGTATCTGAAGGCTTAGGGTATTGAATTTAATGACAGATCTGTGTATAGCTTTTTTTGTTTGTTAACCAAAACAAAAAACAAGTGGCTTAGCTTGACTAGTGCTTCTCAGCCGCTGCCAGGACTGTGGTCTGTATCAAAATGAGTTCTGCAGCTCCAGCCTTAAATGGCACGCACCTCACTCCAAAACTACTTAGAGAAGGACCGAAAACATCATCAAACTTGAAACAGGTTCAACCTCAGCCGGCAACTAAGCCCCACACAGCCTCTCGCTCAATCCCCCCCAGTGGGATGGGGGAGAGAATCGGAAGAGCAAGAGTGAGAAAACTCGTGGGTTGAGAGAAAGACAGTTTAATGGGTAAAGCAAAGATTCACGTCTTTGCTGTGTTGAGTGAGAACTTCCCGCCATCTCTACTTGCCGAGGTCTCCGACAGTAGGTAGACTGGCTTCTTTCCAGTTGTTTCAGCTGGCTTTAGCTCTAAAGAGGAGCAATAAAGCCTTGTTTACGCCAAGCCCTGCTCACAAGTCTATGGGGCCGGATGGGATCCACCCGAGAGTGCTGAGGGAGCTGGCAGAGGAGCTCGCCAAGCTGCTCTCCATCATCTATCAGCAGTCTGGTTAATAAAGAAAAGTCCAGGAACATAAAAATTTGATTTTTTTCAGTTATTTAAGAGCACTAAATGCATTGTTTCAGGGTGAAAATTTTCCTCAATACTTTAATTTACTAGGAAAATTGAACTACAGTTGTAGTAGGGCCCTCATCTTGAGGGCGCTCACAAGGCAGGTGTGTGACAACCAGGGGATCAGGCCCAGCCAGCACGGGTTCATGGAAGGCAGGTCCTGCTTGACCAACCTGATCTCCTTCTATGACCAGGTGACCCGCCTAGTGGACAAGGGAAAGGCTGTGGATGTGGTCTACCTGGACTTCAGTAAGGCCTTTGACACCGTCTCCCACAGCATTCTCCTAGAGAAGCTGGCGGCTCACGGCTTAGACAGGTGTACTCTGCGCTGGGTCAAAAACTGGCTGGATGGCCGGGCCCAGAGAGTTGTGGTAAATGGAGTTCAATCCAGTTGGCGGCCGGTCACGAGCGGTGTTCCCCAGGGCTCAGTATTGGGGCCAGTTCTGTTCAATATCTTTATCAATGATCTGGATGAGGGGATCGAGTGCACCCTCAGTAAGTTTGCAGACGACACCAAGTTGGGCGGCAGTGTTGATCTGCTCGAGGGTAGGAAGGCTCTGCAGAGGGACCTGGACAGGCTGGATCGATGGGCCCAGGCCAACTGTATGAGCTTCAACAAGGCCAAGTGCCGGGTCCTGCACTTTGGCCACAACAACCCCATGCAGCGCTACAGGCTTGGGGAAGAGTGGCTGGAAAGCTGCCTGGCGGAAAAGGACCTAGGGGTGCTGGTCGACAGCCGGCTGAACATGAGCCGACAGTGTGCCCAGGCGGCCAAGAAGGCCAACGGCATCCTGGCCTGTATCAGAAATAGTGTGGCCAGCAGGAGCAGGGAAGTGATAGTGCCCCTGTACTCAGCACTGGTGCGGCCGCACCTCGAATACTGTGTTCAGTTTTGGGCCCCTCACTACAAGAAGGATGTTGAGATGTTGGAACGTGTCCAGAGAAGGGCAACGAGGCTGGTGAGGGGTCTGGAGAACAAGCCTTATGAGGAGCGGCTGAGGGAGCTGGGGTTGTTTAGCCTGGAGAAAAGGAGGCTGAGGGGAGACCTCATTGCTCTCTACAACTACCTGAAAGGAGGTTGTAGCGAGGTGGGTGTCGGTCTCTTCTCCCAAGTAACTGGCGAAAGGACGAGAGGAAATGGCCTCAAGTTGCGCCAGGGGAGGTTTAGATTGGATGTAAGGAAAAATTTCTTTACTGAAAGAGTAGTTAAACATTGGAACAGGCTGCCCAGGGAAGTGGTTGAGTCACCATCCCTGGAAGTATTTAAAAGACGGGTAGATGAGGCGCTTAGGGACATGGTTTAGTGGGCATGGTGGTGTTGGGTTGACAGTTGGACTCAATGATCTCTTAGAGGTCTTTTCCAACCTTAATGATTCTGTGGTTTGGCCTTTCGTGCTTGAACTAGTGACGTGTCCTTAAAGGCAATGCTTTAGCTGAACGTTCTTTCTTGCAGCATCAAATTTGAAGCAAATGAAGCAAGGCAGTCTAACCGCTGTTCTTGGAGCCAGCTGGAGTACTTGCGGGGAGCTGGCGTACAGGTGCCTTACCTCCCGGGGAGTGAAATAAGTCATGCTGATCTTAGACGTGCGCACGCACGCGCGTCTGCGTGGGAAGACCCCTTGCTGAAGTTGGATTTTGAACCTTCTTACCAAGGTGATGCTGCTCAGTCTGGTTTTGTTGCAGCTGTTAGCCACCCAACCCTATCGGCTCTTCAGCTGCGCTTTTTTTTTTCCCTTTCTTTCTTTCTGATCTGCCCTCTCTGCATTTTAAAGACCACAAGAAACAAACCATCCCCTTTGCCCGTTCTTGTCACGTCTGGGGTGGAGCTGGAACGCTCGAATGGCACAGCTCTCCAAAGGGGTGCACAGCCCTGAGGCGTTAGGGTTCCTTTCCCTGCTGTGGATGTGCCTGTATTTGCCACCCACTGGCACGAAGGTGAACGGTGCTCGGCCCCTCCTTGCTTTTTGTGGCTGAAACTGGAAGGTGTTGGACACCATCCGGGTGTCCGGGTGCCTCGTCTGTTCTTCTGCCCTTGCTGTCGGAATGCCATTGTTTATGGATTTAGTTTTCTTTTGGCAAGTCTTCCTTAAAACTAGGAACTCCTTCCTTTGCCTGTGAGGCTCCTGTGGCATTGACATGTTCAGGTGGGAGACACGGTGGATACCTGCTTTGCAAACTGCCTTTTGTGAGCCACGACATCAGTTTTGCCTGAAGTTTTTCCTTGAGGGGAGACACACCTTTCCTTTGACCCTAAAAAGGTGCCGTTTAAGCAGCAGATGGCTTTTTGTCGCTTGTGGTGGTGGGATAGCGAGGTGCTGGTACCTAATGATTAAGAAACTGTTAGGATAGCTGAAGTGAACCTCCCTTTTGGTGCGGTACTTCAGTGATGAACACCGTAGCAGATGAAGAGCTCTGTCCCGGGGCCCTTTGCCTGTAAAACTCCTGTGTTCTGTTACCGGATTTGCAGATGGGCAGAGCGGGTAACAAATGCTGCCGTTCAGTGGCTGCGACGGGCCGCAGCTGCTCTCGCAGGTCTGGTGGGTACCAGGTTCAGTTTTTATGATCTCAAAAGGCTGAAGAGTTATGTCACTAGATGGAGTGGTTCTGGGGTCAGTTCTGGTCCCAGAGCTGGCCGACTCCTGCAGACGCACTGCACCTCACCTCCCTCGGCACAGCCTTGGGGTCTGGTGGAACTACGCTGACACCATCGCGAGTCGGTGCCAGTGGGTTTCTGATCGCTTTCACATAGTCTGTTTTAAGCTTGGCCCTTCAAGCTGTCTCTCTTCCCTAGCTAGGATCCTTTTTCCCCCCGCAGGCGCAGGTTTCTGGGTAGAGAAGACGCTGCTCTTGCCTTCTGCTCACTGAAAGGGATGGGAAGAGCACCTGTGCTGGAGGCTGGCTTCCCCTTCCTTCCACCTACCTTCCCCCAAAGCAGGGAGGTTAACCCCACCCTGAGTGCTTCAGCTGCCCCCTCCTGCCCCCTGAAGAGGAAAGCAAACCCGCTGACGGTGTGCGTTATCCCCGCTGCCTGCTACCAGCCCGTCTCCCAGGGCTGCTCTCATCCAGCTCCTGTGAAGCACGGAGCTGGCGGGGCTGACGTTTGCCCTTTAGACTTACGGGTGTCTTGGAGCAAGAAATAAAAAAAGGCTTCCGGAGGTGGCCAAATCAAAAGGGGTAGGGCTCACGCGGGTCTGGGAACCTTCTCTGGCCACGTACCCCTCTCAGAGCAGAGGGGGGAACACCCTCTCCCGGCAGCACAAGGCAGGCCACGGTGTTGACTGCACCTGAGCAGCAGTTCTTGCCTGTGGCAGAACGCCCGTCCCTGAAGGAAAGCCATGCAGCAGGACTGGCAGCCTGAGCCTGCCTGTGCGAAAGAAGGCTCTCCCACGAACACGCAGTGCCTGGACAGCGCTGGAAGAGAACAGCTGCGCTGACTGAAAGCTTTTCTTTAACTACGCTGCGAGGGCCTTAAATGGCGGATATTGTTTGTGAAAAGAGTCTGAAGCGATGCAAACTAAACTGACGCACAGAAGCGACTGTTAAAAGCAGCTTTAATAAAATGTGTAGTGATTCAGAAAACCAAAGAACCTGCCACTGAAGGGTTGTGGTAGCAGATTAAGCCAAAGTGCCTTTCAGGGAAAGATGGTACTTGAAGCTAAGAATGTATTTCAGGACTTTATATCTAAAAATACGTAACGTGACACCACCGTTGCCATTTCACCACAGCCTCTCACAGGGGAGACGGCCCGAACAGAAAAGGGTAAGATAATCTCTACAGACTGCACTCCCCAAGAAGAAGTATATTACAGTAGTTTCTTGGAGAATACACTCCCCAGGAAGAAAAAAAAAAAATATATATATTACATAAAGTATTCTCACATATTAAGTTTTGCATTTTGAATGCAGGACAGAATATCCCATTGCAAAAAAAGAAGAAAAAGAAAAGGCAAACTGTACACATTCGCTCCATCCTTAGCTACGGAGGGTAGCTAATCGCGACTGCATTGCTTCAATGTCTTCTTCCTCGTCAACAGCGGCAGCCGCTCCCCTGGGGTCGGGCTCCGGGAGAGCGGCTGTGCTTTACTAGGTGCTTTACCCAAGGCCCCTGCAAACAACACACGGTGTGCGTTAGGTCTTCATTTAATAATCAGCAGCTTCCAGGTACAGATACTTAAAACAATTCAACCTGTCGCTTTCGGTAGAGGTCGCACACGAGAACTGTTGGACTTGCTCAGCCCTGGGCCGTCGGCCAATGCAGCAGTACTGACCTGTCGGCCCCTCCTGAGCCCGCTGGTGGGCCGGGGAGGAGCGGCTCCCCCCCCGGAGCCGTGCTGCTGCCCCGCTCCCCCAGCCAGCCCGGCAGGGAGGGAGCTGCTCCCAGCCAGGAAACGGGATGGAAAAAAAGCAAAGCGGGACGTGAGAAACAAGAGAGGGCGACAAGCCAGCGGCAGGCACGAGGTAACAGCAGGGCAGGAGCTGGGGAACTGTGCTTTCAGCGTGTTGCAGCTGAACACAGCTCCGGCGCTTACGTTTGTCACACCGCGTCACAAGAAATTCAGGTAAGGAGCATTCCAAGCATTATCGAAGTTAAATAACTAAAACAGTAGATCGTTACCTCATGAGCTGTAAGGCAGAAGGTGGGGGTTTGGGTTGGGTTTTGGTTTTTAGGGGGCTTGTTTGTTTTTGTGGGGCTTTTTCCCCCCAACAACTCGAGACACTAACAGCATTTTACAGCCAGGAACCGCAACACAGCCTAAGGCTCAAGGCAACGCAGCTGAGTTTATTCCCTGGATTCATTAATAACGGTGCATCTAGTCAATCGTACAATTTCACCTGGCTAAGAGGATCCACTGTACAGACAAACACTGACCTGTTAAAACCTCAATTACAGAACTCTGCAGACATCAGCTGATGCGTATTACTTACGCTTTACCGAACCGCACCAGCCTTCTCAGCCAGCGTTCCCCGAGAAACCAGTTTGTCAGAGCACTCTGCCTATTAGCAAAGGCAAAGCCACCACGGGGAGAGCGCAGTTAAGCCAGAATAGACAAAGATTTAAACTGCTGCGTCTTATCGAACAGAGCGGGGGCAAGGCTCCACTCTCAAACACACACAAACTCACCAGCTGTAATTTCAAAAAGGATTTTGTCGATTTCCATCTCAGCTTCCTCTTCCATTTCCTCCTGATCCTCCAGGCTTTCAAAGGTGTCCTCCAGCATTTCCTCTATAATACCAGCCTAGCAGAAAACAAAAAGGCAGCGCGTGATGCCCTTGGAAACAGCGGAGTAAGAGGACACACTTCCCACTTTCAAGATCAGGTTACGCCTGTCCAGGCATTTAACAACCGCTCGCTCGCTGCTCAAGCTTTCCTGATCAAGGCTATCCTGTTGCATGAGGGTTGGCCAACACGCTTGCCTACGGTTTAAGCACGTGTCTGTACAACTGGTGCACAGGATGAAGAGCGGCAAGAAAATTGAGGATTAAATTACACGTGTTCTCACCGTGAAACCCTCAAGCTATTATTCCTTCCTGTTGCATGTCTAAACACCGACAACCCAGCTTGCTCCAAGCATGTGAAATACAACTGCAAACTTCAGTCGTGAAGCATAAGTTGTGTAACACGCTGTACAATTAGTGTTTGACACGGGTTCCCTTTTTTCTATCCATGTTTGAAAACGTTCCTCTGCAGGGCCTGCAACCTAGATGTGGCCAAATTGTTCCGGTGCACAATGGTAAAATTATTAAGAAATAAGCTGATTTGAACTAAACCAGTCTAGAGTGGTAAGAGGGGAAAAAGCAAAACAATTTTGGTAGTTGGAAAGGTAATAGCCGTGATAGAGAATTAGTACGCTTTAAAATCAGAGCACTGTCATCAGATGGAGACACTAAACTAGATGTTTTAAACCCAGTATCAGAATAGCCATCCTGCCTAAGATGGGACCGTCAGCTGTCAGCTTCCCGCTCCACAACAGGCTGTGGCGGGTCCTTCTCAGTGAAGATTTCCATCGCTGAAAGCAGGGAGCTCAGTCTCCCCAGAACAGGCAGAAGCTCGGGGATACAGCAGTCACTGGGCGCAGGTGTGAACCCTGCTTCGAGCCTCCGTCTCCCCCCGCCCTTGGGGCTGGGATGACCAAGCCACAACCGCTCTGTGCGGGGACCGGTCTTCCTCCTTCCGTCCTCAACCTCAGCAGCCTTTTTTGGCTTCAAGCTTTACGCCAAACGCGTTGCAGGTATCGCCGAGTCAGGGTTTTCCCCACATACAGTAACTTGCTAGGAAGTCCCCAGCTATTAATGTGCTACTTTCTGTTTGTCAGAGCCCACGCAAACCCTCTGACAAAGGGGCCACCTAAGCGGTTGCGCAGCACGCTAACCACCACCTCTCGTTCACCCAAGTCTTATTTATGGTATAGGTCTTACCTTCATCATCTCTTTGGACAACTCCCTCATCGTCGCTTGGATTTCAGGGATTTTTACTAGATTTTGCATAGCTTTCATGACTTCCGTGCTCTTCTGCAATGAACCTGCTACTCTCAGGACAGCTGTGAAGGAGAGGCATAGAAAAGCTCGAACGATCCAT